GTGGCACCGCCAGCTGCCGGATGCAGACAGGGCTGAGCTCTGGGGAGGCCGCGGGCACTGGGGCCCTGCGGGAGCTGTTGGCTGGGGCTCAGCTGGAGCATCTGGGATAGGAAAGCGGGGCAGCCTTGTGCTGGGCACAGCCGCTTCCAACTGTGATAAGTGAAAGCACCGGTTTTTATTCCAAGCAAATTAAAATCAAAAGGGGGTACTAACAAAAAACTATTTCTGTATATTTACTAACTTCTAGGTGTACCGTGGAGTCTGTAAGGTGAAAGGTCCTGTCTGGACCTAACACCAGGGAATCTTTTGCGGCCGGGAACAGGGAGCAAATTATAAATAAAAATACATTTCTCTGTGCCATGTGGATACAGAGAAAGGATTTGCAGCATGAGAATGATGCAAGACCCTCCTGTACAAGCCCAGGGGAGATACGTGACAACCAACCAGGGGGTAACACCCACCTCCAAAGCAGGGGAATTACCCTTTAAGGCAACAAACGGACAATGAATGAATATTCAACAACTGATATCGAGAGGGTACAAAAAGCCCAGTTTTCAAACAAGTTTTGTGTGTCTCTGGCGGGGCACTGGCCCCCCAGGCCACCCAGCGCTGTTTGCTTTATTATCGCTTGCTTAATAAATTTATCAACTTTTAATTGGAACTGAGTTGTCTAAATTCTTAAACTAACTTATAACAATTTGGTGTGTTGGCCGGGAATCCAAATTGCTTTGGTCTGAACTCCTGCAGAGACAGGGAGGCGCCCTATCTCTGGATAGCCCTGCTTTGAAGGCTGTTCTTACCAAACTCTGGATCAATGAACCCAGTAAAATTTCGATAATAAAGCAAAGAAATCTGCAGACCCCCTTAAATTTTGTGCACGAAGACCAAATGAAGACCCCAGGGAGGGTAAGTATAGAGTTTTCTTTTTTGGTGAGCCGTTTGGTTGGGGGACGGAATCCTAAGGTGTGCCTGTGTGAGCGGTCTCAGTAGGAGACCAAACAGTGTAAACTCTCCTGTGATGCAATCCCACAGCCCGCGAGGGAGTGGGTCATGACCGGGAGAAAGCAAATGTGTGTACGTTTTAAAGCGCCTTAGAAGGTGGGACAGAAGAAAGCAAGCCTTCTGGATCCCATGGGGAAGAGCGATATCTCCCCACAAAGCCCATTAGAATGAAAAATAAAACAGTGGAGTAATTCCGCTAGGAAAAAAATTAAATCTAAGAAAAATATGATATGTTATTATATAGAAACTTGGGGAAAAAAATCATTCTCTAATCCCCATATTATATGGCCCGTATTCGAATATTCTCTTCTGTCTCCTTTGGCTCCAAATGTCATCCTCTCCATGCCCTGACAAAGACAGTGAATAAGTGATGGATAAACAAGGATTTTTTTGGGGCAGTATAGACTTTGTTGATTGAGTCTAGTTTATCACTACTTTTACACGGTTCTGAACTTCTAAGTGTTTTCTTTGAATTCTTTCCTTTTTTCAACTTTGCTGCACCAGAAAATTGTTCTCTGTGTGTGTGGGTTTTGGCAGTGAGGATTTTGTAATTCTCTTTGGTTTGTAATCTTCTCTACTTCTGTGTGGTATACTGAAGTTCTTTTTGTGTTCCACCTTCCTCTCTTTCTTTCTATCAAATGTTCTGCCTCTGCTTTTTATTTTTCATTACATTAGTTGTCCTGTATCAGTAAAGAAAACTATACCAAAATATTTTGGCTGACTAAAGCCTGGACAAATGCAAAAGGGAATCTTCTTATGGCTGCCCTGTCTGTGCAGTGTGGACCACCAATCTGTAGACATAATTTGTTTGAATGTATTCTAAATTCCTAGTAAAGTGCTTCCTAATCTTAGCCAAGCTCCCAGGGAGGGGGGAGAGAATAATCCCTTCCCTGACAACGCAGCACGGCGGGAGTCCCCAGTGTGAAAGCGATAAAGAGATAAGGAAATTTAAACAACTGAGGAGCTCTCGGAATGGCCCCGGGGCTCTCAAACGCTTCCGAGATTTTTCGGGAGCAATCAACATTTTTAAGCAGTATGTTTGTTATATGTAGCGTGTGTATAGGTGTGTGCACCTCATGAAGATAATTTGTAAGTGAAGTGTGTTGTTTGAGTGGTAAGAAGTTACTAACAAATTATTTGTTAGAGTAAAACCTCTCTCGTGATGGGTGAGAGGGGATGGGAACACATGTTGTGTAAACATTCTTCTAATAAATACTAAAAACTAAAAGTTTACAAAGCTAATAGAAAAGTTTCTAAAGGGATCTATGACAAGGTGGTTTTTGTTGGTTAAGCATGTAAGAAAAAGTACAGAACGGAGTAATGTGGAAAAGGAAAACATTCCTAAAACAACAGAGAGTCTGTGTGCCAGAGCAGATAGCAAAAATAACTTGAGAGATTTGAAGATGGGGGAGAAGAAAAGGAGTAATATATTGTTAAGATGGTGTTGTGAAAGACTGACCACTGATTATTATCAGAGTCTTTGGGAGTGAAGCAGGTTTGGATAAATGATAAGTTGTTAGAAGAGCCAGAGGAGGGAGAAAGGGAAGAATTGTTGTCTAAAAGAAGAAAATGAATGAAAATGTGGCCATGCATTGATAGTTGAGAGTGGGTTGAGTTTATCCTGTCGGCTAAAAGTGTCCTGTGGAATTTCACCTAAGATGATTGTGACCTGGCGGGAGGTCTGTCTCTTCTCCCAGACAATCAACATTGAAACAAAAGGGCATGAGATTAAGCTCTGCCAGGAGAAGTTTCCAGACAGAGTAATCAAGCATTTAAATGATTCACCATCCCTAAAACTGTTCAAAGTAAAACTGAATATGCCACTTAAATACCATGATCTAATACTCACGGTGAGATTGGATCAAAAGTTAACCTTAATAATCTTAAAAATCTCTTCCAACCTAATTAATTCTATGATTCTATAATTCTGTGATTTCATTAACTTTTAAGTCCAATAGCGCGTGCGTGAAGGAAGCAATGCCAGAGAATCCATCGCTGCGTGCACATACTAAGTGCCAACCAAAGGCCCAGCTGGTACACTGAAACAACAGAACAACACCAAATGAAGATACACTACTCCTAGAGGGCGGTAATGCAAAGAAATCTCTGGTCCCCAATGAAAGAAAATTCTTATAAGAATAATACCATGTTTTAACCACCAGAAAAAAGTGTTCCTTCGTATTTTTAGTAACTCCATAATACCTATATTTCTTAAAGCCTAAATAACTAAATGAGCATAAGTAACTAAGCACAAGAAACAATCAAGGCCTAAATAACCAGAGCACAAGAACAAAACACAATGCCAAAGGGCAATGCCAGAAAGCACTCATAAACACCAATACTGATAAACAGTGGCACCACAGAGGGCAAGACCAGATTAACCGCTATACTTGCCACAAGAAGATATCTCTCTCCTGCTGTCGGCGGCAATCCGATAGGCATGGAAAGTGGAGGTATATGCTATACTGGACCTCTGTTTGCCTTAACTACATTCCTGCTAGTGGTCATTGCCAATGACCACTGCCAAAAGTGCTATCAAAACACATGCTATGACACAACTATGGTAACTGCCTCTAATAGAAAGTAATAACCTCCTATTAAAAACAAAATTAAGTGTTTTTTTTTCTTGTTATATACTGTCTTTAAATTATTGTTTTTACCTTATTAATTCCATGTTTTATGAGATTAATTTCTACAGATGCAACTGACTACAATATCTGTGAATTCAAAAAGCGTCACAGCAAGAAGTACCACAGCCCAAAAGACCATTATCCTGCATCTGACTCCGGGGCAAACTACAGACATAAAGAAAAACACGAAAACTACTCCTCAACGAACCCGAAACATCATAGAAATTTAATATAATTAACCTTGTAAGAAAACCATTAAAAAAAAAAAAAAAAAAAAGGGGGATTGTGATAAGTGAAAGCACCGGTTTTTATTCCAAGCAAATTAAAATCAAAAGGGGGTACTAACAAAAAACTATTTCTGTATATTTACTAACTTCTAGGCGTACCGTGGAGTCTGTAAGGTGAAAGGTCCTGTCTGGACCTAACACCAGGGAATCTTTTGCGGCCGGGAACAGGGAGCAAATTATAAATAAAAATACATTTCTCTGTGCCATGTGGATACAGAGAAAGGATTTGCA